ATGATGGGAGTCTAGAAAAGACCGAAACGAAAATCTTTGTACCGGACCGGCTAGCAAATACATCCAACAACACGCTTTGGATTGGCTCCCACAATACGGGTGGATCATTGATAGATATTATTCAGGTAAGCAGAGGCGTTGTGATACGTTCATGGAAGTTGGAGAAGGTTGAAGGCAAATTGGAATTTATAATGGATGCAGATTGGGAGTCCGATCTGCAAAATTGTCCCATAGTAATTTTCCCAAGTCAGACAGCGATTTTGTCTATTTGCAAGAGGGCAAATGGTTTAATTTTAAATTAAGTTTGGTTGCTGGCAGTAAATTTATCAGGCCTATTTTTGGAAGTGATTTTCAAAACGGAGATATATTGATTGTCGAAGACAATTCAAAGACACAACATGCATTTTATTGGAGGGCAAAAACACGGGATATTAAGTTTGATCCAGTGATCAACATTGATGCAAAGTGCTTAACACAATGCCCAAAAGCTCATCCATTTTTCAAACACACGCTGTTCAATGCCAATACTTGTTTGAAAGTTGAAGTTATGGACTGGATTTATATTAATTTCATTGAAAAGCGTGTTAGCTATATCTACCAGAAAGTCCACGAGTTTCCTAAAATCGATTACATTCACCCGATGTTCGAAGATCATTCTCCTTTTGTTGTGTGGTGCTCTCAGCTCAAGTGTGGAAAAGTTTTAAAGCTATGTGAAAACAGTCGTTGAACTTTTCAGCTGGTCGGAAGAAGCCAGTCACATAAGCATTAGGCTAAACAGCGTGAACAAAACTTGCATTTTCTGTCAATTTAACTGTACCCGAAAATTATATAGTTAAACCAGCAATGTATTTGAATTCAATGACCAATATGTTATCATGCTGATTTCAATGATATAAAAATCGTATTTTAAAGCAATGAGAGTTTCATCTTAGCTTTCAACTTGCACAAAGCCGTTGAAGATTTCTACTTTTTTAAGGTTTATCTCTCCGCGAAACAACTCTAAATTATGTGTTTTATTTATCTGTTTGATAAAAAGTAAATACAATTAGAAAATTTTTCATATTATTTATTAACAATGAATACTATTTTTTTTCAAAAAGTTAGAAAAATGCTTTTGGAGCTTTCTACGAAACGCGATCTCGTACAGAAGCTTAAAAATATCAGTAGTAGAAGCGTGAGCAGAGCTTGAGGGGTCCTTGCAGACATCCATGTTTTAGGATAGGGAATAGAACATCCTGTCCGCCAGCTATGTTTTAAGATAGGGATTAGGGTTGCAATGTATTGATATAGGTCATAGGTTTCCCTATTTATTAAGTTGTTTTTTACCAAGTTTCAGATGAATTTACCAAGGTGAATTGCAAAAAGTTTTTTGCGCCCGATTTTCACTAAACTTCTGCAATTTGATGTGTTAAAGCTATGTTTTCTTTATAACTGGGATGGTAAGTTCCAGCTGATAAATCTCAGAAAATTGAATTTTCATTTGACATGCCTTGCCGTTGGAAAAACCAAACAAAAACTTTTTCTAATTGTAAGTTTCAGATGGTAAGTTTCGACAAAAATGAAGTTTCGATTAAGACTATGCAAGTGTGATCTAATATATCTTAAATTAGTTTTTTCAAAAAACCCATTTAATACTTTTTTCATCCTAGTTTGACAGCTCCCTACGGTTGATTTAATTGACATCCCTTTTAATTTTTTCCCCAGGTTATCTGAAGAAAAGATCACAGCTCCCTTCAACTAATTTTTTGTAAGATTTTTTTGTATTTCTTCCCATAATGATCATATGATTTTATGACAGATGCATATTAGTTAGCAGTTCTGAACGGAGTTAATTCCAAGTTTTAATTTAAAAATAAAGTTTATTCTATCAAAACTGCTTGATTTTTTATTGGCAGCTATAATTATTAGCTAAGAATATTAGCTAATCCCTAAATACTTGCAAAAAGATGCAGTTTAAACGTTTTCATGAGTGATAGAAAGTGGTTGGTTTAAATTGGAAGCACTTAATTCTACTTTCAGTTGCACTGTTTTGTCTAAGTTCAAGGAAAGTTTATTGGCATTTAACCAATTACTTATATAACTCAAATAGTTCTGAACTTCTAAAGCTGTGCATCCTAGTGAATTTGTATCGTCTGTGAAGAGAAACACCTGAGTGTTTTTACATGCACTAGGAAGATCGTTTCTATAGATAAGAAACAGGAACAACAGAGGATCTAAAATTGAGCCCTATGGCACAACGCAAACATTGTGTTTCCAGGAAAAACTTTTACCAGACATTTATATACGCTGTTGGCGATTACTTAGATAATTGCTCAACCAGTCTGATGCTTTGCTTTTCATTCAGTAAACGTTCAATTTTTTATTTAATATCTTCGGATCAATAGTCTCGAGCGCTTTCTTGATATCCCAGAAAAAACTGATTTTTTCGCCCCTTTTTTCATGTCTTAATCTTTTAGTTACCTCAACTAAGGCATCAATAGTACTGTGCTTAGTTCTGAATCCAAACTCTTATAGAACAAATTGATTTTCTCGAAATATGCTTATACTCTATTGTAGATTACTCGCTCATAAAACTTACTCAAAGCATTCAGTATTGCCATTGCACGATAGTTGTTTTCATCGTTCTTTGAATCATCTTTGTGTAATGGCAAAACTTTGGCTTTTGCTAATTCATTTGAAAATTTGCCTTCTTGAAATAATAGGTTAATTAATATCGAGAGAATCGCCGAAATTACTGAGGTTGCCAATTTGAATATTTGGTTGCTTATATTGTCATCGCCAAGTTTCTAGAAAAAGAAATTTTTATTCCAGGAAGGTACACTGGACTCTGATAATTCATATTTTTTGTATAGTTAAAACCATTCTTACAAAAAAATTATTGAGTTTTTCCACGGCAGTCGAAAGTGAAGGATGCTCGGTGAGAATGCAACATGAGGAAAGACTGGGTACTGATAATGAACTCGATTGTTTTCCTTTGAGCTCATTGAGCAGTTTGAAAGTTTGTCTGTGGGTCTCTGATACATTTATTAAATTTTTTGAAATAAAATGTCTTTTGCAGTTTTTCTTTTTCTAACTGTTGCCTCGCTCGCTTAAATTGGTTTGGTTTATTCGTATCGTTTTTATCACAAACCCAATTTTTTTGTACTTTATTTCTCTAGTTTTTCAAGTTTTTTACTCGATTTGTATAGCATGGAGCTAGTTTTGTTCTTTACAATTTCGCTACATTTTAGGTGCATATTCATTGAGTGTGTTTTGAGAAAGCAGATGAAATTTGTCAAAATTTTCATTAGTATTCGATATTTTGAAATCATTAAATCGATGATTGAGCAAACATAGGAACTTTTCAACTAGGTCGGAGGATTTCGAAAAGGACATATCTCGGACATTTTCAAGGCCTTCTTCCAATTTTTGTTTTATTGGAAAACTGAAACTAACACGATAAGGATCAGAACAATTTTGGTGTTCGAGAACATGTACATTTGCATTGTCTACATCTCTCACTGAAAAATGATCGAGACAAGTTTTTGTTGTTGATTACACTCGGGCTGCCTCTTTGACAAGAGAGTCAAAACCATATGAGTTGAACGTGTTTGTGTAATTGGCACTTATCCAATTGGTTTTTAACTATCTATATTGAAATCTCCGCATACAGTCTGTGGTATTTGACATGATGTGAACTCGAGAAAGCTATCTAAATTTACAAAAAAATAGTTAATTATTTGTTCTTGGAGGGTTATTTATTACAGTTATGACAAATTGGAAACCTAGGTTTGAGATTTTCTTCGCTAAAGCCTCTTCAAAAACTATCGGCAATTCTTTAAAATTGATCCACTTCACGGCTTGAATCATTTCAACTCTACCTCGCAATTCATGAGACTTCACTCTGCGTTAGAATCGTCTTGAGTACCTAACAAGGTTTCAGTGATACATAATGTTGACGGCGGAGATTCAAGACAATATATAAGTGCTTCCAAGTCTTCAACATACTTCTTCAGGGGCGTAGCGTTAATGAGTAGCACAGCAATTACAGCAGATGTTTTTTTTCATCGGATCCTTTTTCAACTGAAAAGGGAGTTCCTCTGTGGGGGGATGAGTTTCTAGCAACTTAAACAACAGGTTAAATAGCACTAACAATGGCTGGTACAAGAGCATTTATTAAGTCATTAGCTAGATTACTTTGATTTGTTTCTTCAAGTGGCGAGAGCATGAACTTTCTTTTTGGTCTCAAAACGCTTTTCTGATTCAGGTTTTCTTTGCAGCGTAAGTGGTAGTCAGGGAATTCCAGTTATTTAGGCGCACGTTCGATGATTTACGGTAGTGTCCGCTTCCATTAATGTTTTTTTTCGGATATTTGTCTTCTACGCTACTCTGGGGGAGAAGATTTGAACTCATTGCTGGACTTCTTTTGAACGGGGTCTTGTGAGAAGCTATTGGAGTTACGGGCGTATACGTTTTGTTTGTATGTGTAACCTGGTAATACCAATTGTCTAGCTTCTTGTTTTATTTTTTCGGTCTCTTGGGGCTTTCCTCTCGGGGCATTCCTCGATCATGATAGGAACATTTCTCAGATTTTTAACATTTTTCAGCCATCCTTTCCTTCTCAACAATATATCTTTATCCGCATGAATTATGAATTTAATGATCATAATAACAGGCGGCTATAGTGTTGACGCTAAGATTGACTTTCAGATAGTGACGCATCAAATTGATTACTTCACTATAGTCACGGTTTACAAAAAGTAAGCAAAGCTGTCTCGAATATTTCACTACTTCTACAACCCGTCAGCATACTTCGTGTATATCGTTTGATTTTTCAATAACTTTCTTTCTTAATTGACATTGTTCGTTTTCTAGAACTGCTATTTCCGTTGCTGAAGTTCGATTACTTCAATAAATTTTTGGAAAAGAAGACTCTGTGACTCTCCTTCGATTCCGGTTTTAATTGATTCTTTGATATGATTGATTTGTGATATAACATCATTTATATCTTCCATCTCTGAAACTATTTAATAAGTTTATCACAACAATTAGGCTGGTTTTTGCTGAATTTGGACAGAAGCTGCAAACGAGTACTGATAGCGTTGCTAGGTTCTCTATTCATAACAATACTGCGATATGCCTGGTGGAGCAATTACTGATTGGAAAACCATTCATACCAATCATACGAGTGACTTGGCAGCGCTCACTCCAGTTCATTTTCTTTTTCTATTCGTCGATCAATTATCCCTCTATCGTAGATTTCCAGCGGAGATCATTTTTACTGTTTGAAGAAAGAGTATCCAAGATCACAAGCGTACACCGGTTTTATATGGGACAAATCAATTTGGTTTAATATGTTTAAGACGGCTCTAGAAGTAGAAACGTACTTCGCAAAAGATAGAATTATAAGAACAGCAACGTTAAAACTTCAACCGGAACTTACAAGAGGCCGTTGATAAAGTGGGTGTTTTTTTTTACTCCTTGAGTCTTCCAGAAAAAACAGGCCGGCTATATTGGCTCCAGCAGCCAAAATGAACCTGAAAAAATAATTTTTTATGAACGGATGTTACATACCAACTGACAAAAAATGAAACCTTGAGCTCAAGTTCAAAAGGTATTTTATCTGTGCCCTTTTTGAACAAGTAGTTCAAAATTAAAAAATGTTCCAAAATTGCCTATTTGGGAGCACTAACGCACATTGTTTTTGTCGTTGAGGCGTCAGCCTTGAATGATTCCATCTTATTACTCACTTTTTATTGCACTGAGGAAAATTCTTTGGTCATTATTTTGTTTGAAAATTTGTTGCCTTTCATATGCATAACATTTAAGGGTAAAGTTTTGAAAAAGGCTGAAACAAAATTTTCATTTGTTTTGTTGAAAATTTCTTAGTTTTAAAGCATCTATTGAAAACTTTTTCCCACAATTTACTACATGGATGTTTAAGGAAATTGGAATATCCAGAGCTTGGCGTTCATCCGAATAATCTTCTTGACGATATTTAAGGATATACGGCCCTCTATTGTAACATCATAGATATAATAATACAGGGCCTGTGAATATGAAAAATATACGTTTCTTTGGAAGATCAATGAAGTTCAAATGAACTTGTTAAAAATAGGTTGACTCATGGCTTTGTTGAATTTGACTTATTTGGTGTGATATTTTACTGAACGCCTCTCGGTTTTAATTTATATCGGCCAAAAATTTTTTAGGCTATGAAATTTGTTGTGGATGACACTGCGAGGAAAATTTTTATTGAAAACGTACTTGTTTTCTTTCATATTACTAATAGTAATGAACGTATTGATTAATTTTTCATAAGTTTTGGTAATTTTTTTATTTGTTCTTTTTCAGGGAAAAGTCTTAAAATGTTGTAATAACTACAGATGTGCATTCATACTATTAATGCATTAATGAATGCACTTAGGTATATATGCACTTTTTGAGTGTAATTGAAGTTCATCTGCTGAATTTACATAAATAGGCTTCCCGACATACGAACGTTTGAATACCGCGAAAAAGCATGAACGACTTCTAGTTTCGAAAGAGGATTTTTTTTCGAAAGTGGACTTCCCAGCCGAATAAAAACTTTGTATTGATCCAGTTTTCTTAAATTGGGTTAATTTTGTCAACAAAATACCAATCATAAAATTTTCTTGAAATTCAAAGAGCTTTATGGGCATATGTTTTTTCTTCAAATTTCGAAATAAGATTTTTTTTCAAAAAAAACAACAGGTCAGTTTTTTTCTCTCTTCCCTTCCATTCATTACTATTTTCCAATTGTCAGTTGGCTATGTTTAGTTTTTGCAGCTTTTGTTTCAATTTCTCTGTGGATTTTTTGTCAAAATATCGATGAACCTTCTGACAATAAATTTTGAATCCTTTCTCTTCGTTTTATTTTTGTTCTTCTCATCTCGCTCATTTCTTTTGGTCTGCAAAAGTTTCCGATATCTACATTATAAGTGTGATCTACAGCTACTGATAATATCTCATATATCCGTTAATCGGTGCTGATTTTTTCAAAAAAAAAGTAACAAGAACTAGGACTTATAATCCTAATTGTCTCGTAATATTACGATTTAATCAGCTTTGCCTTTCCCAGAAGTCATTCCATCCGAATTCAAAACCTTAAGTAAAAATGGAGAGCGAATTATTATTGGGAAAAGTTAAGTTTCTGATTTTGTTGCTAAAATTGAATGTTAAGTGGATCGGAATCGGATCCACTAAAATCGGATCCACTTGTAGTCTGAATCGGAGCAACTACAATTCCTTTTTAATTTTTTCCCCAGGGTTTAACTAGATTCATGAATGATGATACGATTCTTGCTATTGTGGTAACAATGAAACACAGAAAAGCGAGAATGAGTGTTTTTATAAATAAGAGCTAAGTGGTAGTGGTCAATTTGCGGTTATAATAGGCCTAATGTTGGTATGTGTTTTTCTAACCTCATATCTAATTTGAGCTGCTGAATTTCGAAAATTTTGCTCAGTTTTGCTGTTTTCAGATCACATTGAGCTGAGCGATACTAGATTATATCGATATTACGCTGCATTATCAAAGCTGTTTTCGATAGCTTTTTCGAAGATCCAAAAGATTACCCATTCTGAGTTTATCTTTGGAGAAATCTGCTGCTCGGTTATCCGGAGTTTAAATATTTACACAGTTGTTGACATATTGACCTTTCTTGTTTTTGTCTTTGATATATTTTTTGCTTGACAATGAGTAGTGAATCTGGCGCTGTAGTAAATGGTGACATCCATAGTAGTGGCAGTTATGGCTCTGGAAATAGTGGATCATGGCCGGATGATGTTGGCATTATAGCTATGGAGCTCTATGTCCCGAATCTGTTTGTGGATCAAAGTGAACTTGAGTTGTTTGACGGAGGAGGCCAAGGTAGTAGTAAGGCCAAGTCCTTTGTGGGCAAATATACTGTGGGTTTGGGTCAACAGCAGATGGGCTTTGTGGCTGATAATGAAGATGTGAATTCGCTTGCACTTACAGCTGTGAGCAGGCTGTTCAAGAGACAAGGCGAGTAATTGGTATTCATATGCCCAAATCTTAAGCATCAGACAGAATTTAATAATCTAGAGAAAGCACAAGGACCGAAATAAATTTTCAATTTAGGGCACGGGGAGTCGTAAAAAGCGATTTTTTGCTGAGCACTATTCCAGATGTTATATAGCCTCAGGGGCGGATTTAGAGGGGGGGGTGGGGGTGGGGTGGGGCAGACGCCTCTTTCTCTTAAGGGATTCGACCCCTGCCGACCCAAAGGGTCCCCCCTTTGATACTTTTTCAGAAAACCATTTTTGGCCGACCGACACTAAAATAAATTTTTCTAAAGGCGTCTTTGGCGCCAATATATACGAACTTTGAGGGGGAGCGCGCGCCAAAAAAACGCGATTTTTTTGTCAAAATTTTTCAAAAAGTGCCCAAAAACGGCTTTTTTAAACTGTTTTTCAAAAATTTGCCTGCGGCGCAGAAAATTTAGCCAAATAGGTGCAAAATAGTGCTTTAGGAGAGCTCGAAAAATCAATTTGGTCGACCTAAAAAAAAGGTCGTCAAAATTTTTTGAAAATCCGCCCCCCCCCCCCCCCCCTCGAGAAAATCCTAGATCCGCCCCTGTATAGCCTGCCGACTTTCGTATTCCAATTAGTTGAAATTAAATATTTCTTTAAAAAAAGCTCAATCAACATTTTTTTTCATGAATTATCTGTTTACCTTTCTTCTGTTGCGATTTCTTCAGTGTGCTTTTTTAAATTTAGTATAATCAATTGATTTTTATTTTCTACTGATAAATGCGTGTTATGAATACAGGTTTTTCGCCTCGTGACTTCGGACGGCTGGAGGTGGGCACTGAGTCTATTCTGGATAGAAGCAAGAGTGTGAAGACTGTGTTGATGCAACTATTCGAACAGGGGGAGGGGGAGGGGGAGGGGCACACAGACCTTGAGGGCGTTGATAGTGTGAATGCTTGTTATGGGGCCACAGCTGCACTCTTCAACACGGCCCAGTGGGTGAGTTGAGTAAAGGAACATAAGCATTCTTGGGAGCATATTTGTAGTCACAATTTCCTGAATACTCAATCGCTGGTCCCCTTAGGTAGAGAGCAGCAGTTGGGATGGAAGATTAGGTCTGGTGGTGGGGGCGGACATAGCAGTCTACGCACAGGGAGCAGCCAGACCCACTGGGGGAGCGGGGGCCATAGCCATGGTGGTGGGGCCACACGCCGCACTAGTGCTTGACAGAGGTAATCAATCAATCAATCTTAATACAGGGGTACCGCAGGGCTCCGTTCTTGGCCCTCTTCTTTCTCTTATTTACATTAATGACCTGCTTCTTTCAGCCACTGATTCATATGTCTTTCTTTTTGCTGATGATACAAATGTGGCATGTAAAAGCTTGTGCTTTGATCTATTTCAAAAAGATTTAACGAATGTTTCCAAATGGTTGTGCAAAAAAAATTAGCTTTCAACTCAGATAAAAACAACTTAAAAAATTTTTGATAGAAATGGATGTGCTTCTACTCTTCAAATTCACCAAGCTGTAATTATGTATGAGTCGAAGCCATTCTGTAAAATTCTGGGTGCTGTACTGGATAACAAATTGTTGCTTGTGTTTCATATTCAAAAAATTAAAACGAAACTAGGGCATAATTTGCTTGTGTTTTAGGTACCAGTTTTTCTCTTTTGAACCAAATTTATACGTTGCAGCGAAAAATAGTTCGAATTGTTTTTTTCAAGAGGAAGTATGATAGTATAACACAATCCTAACGGTACATGAACTTTTCATATACGATATATTGAAGTTTTGCCTTCGATCTTTAAATCATAGACACCAAAGGTTTTTCTTAAATTCAATGTTTTCAGCGAAAAATTTTGCATTTACAACCAGTAATCTGAATAAGTCTGAATCATGCTCTCTAACTAATAGAGGTACAAAATTGCTGAAGATATTTAGCCATAACAATCTGTTGCCTGGAAAAATTTGTGAAATGACCAAAAATTAAGCAACAAATTTTGTTCACAATTTTTAAAAAATTTTACTTGGAAGTAATGATTCAGTATATTCCATTTTCAATCAACTTTTTATATGTTTTTGTATTTTGAACCCAGTGGCTAAATGCTATCAAAGCACTCTGTCAAGCTTGCTATTTTTGTCCAAAAAATTGCCCAAATCCTTCTAGTTTTCGAGATATCGTCCTTTTTCTTTTTCGGAAATTTTGTTTTTGATTCCTTCTTACTGGTGTTAAATTATATGGGATTAGTAATCGCGTAAAATCAGTGAAAATCAAACCGTATTTGGCTTCTTTGTGATTTTCTTGGTATAATTATTTTTAAAAATTCCCGTTTTCTTTTCTTATTTTAATTAAGTTTGTCATATATCTGTGTTCGGATAGACTCTCGATAGGTACGTATTGTTTTTTTAGCCTATCCACTCCATTCTGGTATTTTGTACAACATTTAAAATGAGTTGCCTAAAAAAAGATGTAAAAATTAATGTTGTCTACTTATACTATTATTGAGAAATTCTTTCTCTTTCTTTCTTAAGCTTGTTAAACTAATATAAACAAATCAAATCTATATTTGTCAAAATGGGGTCTGTATACTGATTTGGAATAGCTCAGACCATCAATTTGGTCGACTAAAAATTGCCGAGCGCATTCTCGTATTTGAGAAGTGTTCACTGGATGATCTTTTTGTTGGGTGATAAAAAAGTTGCTTATTTGTAAAAAATTATTTAGGCAAAAAAATGAACCGAATTTATTTTATTGCAGAAATATATTTAAAAGATGTTGATTTTCATATAATAGGCTGACAGAATCAGTAAAAGTGTTGGATGGTTTTCGATGTTTTAGACTGGTTCATTATCTGATGTTTCTGATCGTTTGTGCAGGTCTAAGGGGCACTGAGATGCGCCACGTGTATGACTTCTACAAGCCCAGACTGGATTCTGAATATCCAGAAGTGGATGGACCTCTATCTGTGGAGTGCTACTTGAGTGCCTTGGACACATGTTACAGTAGATACAGAACCAAGTTCAACAATATCAACAGAAGTATCAAGACCAAAACCAACAGTACACTCAGAGAAGGTATGAAAAAATCTTGGAGAACACGTTTAAAGAACGGATATACTTAACAATCTCCCTCCCTCATTTCAAGAAAGAGAATGGAGATTGTTAAATGTAGATTTAAATAGTGGAGTTTTCGACCAATCAGAATGCAGTGAAAATAGTATTATCAATTGAAAGCTCTAGTGCTAATATGCTGCTTTTATCAACAAGGGTGGATATACCAAAGGGGGGATTGTTTAGTAGATCCCGGAGACTTGGTGTTTTTCGGAAAAATTTTGTTGGGTATTGATTTTATTGTTTCTTTTAACAGCAAGGTGATTTTTTCTTTTTCAAAATTGTTGGATCATTTGTACGCTGAGCCTCGTTTGATTAGAAAAATAGGAAAGTCATGCTCCTGTTATTAGCACAATTGTAAGATGAAGAGTGCCATTATTCTCATGAAAAGCTCCAAAACGCTAGCAAGAAACTGCAAACGATTTGTCAGAAGAGTTATATAGTCCTATAATGATTTTTTAGGACATACATAATGAAAGGACCCAAAAATCATTTTATTAAATTTATTTTTTTTTCAGAAGAAAAAGTGACAGAGACCAGATTAGACTTGGATTGTTTCGACGCAATACTTTTCCACACTCCTTTCTGCAAGATTGTACAGAAGTCCCTGGGCAGACTGGTGCTGTGTGAATACCTGGACAAACTGCCCCACTCACAGAGAGATGCCAAGTTCGAACCACTCCAGACACTGGCAGCCGGGTACGGTACGGTACGATCAGGGGTGGTAGCAGTTGAAGGCACGATTAAATTGTGATTACAATCAATCCATTGCTTATACAGTGCTGATTTGAATTAACCGGACAAAACGCGCTAAACTTGAAACTTAAAACGCGTTTTTCTCAAACTGGGTTGAGTTTAGGTGAACACTAACGAAGACAAAACTTGCTCAAAATTTTAACAGAATTAATATGGTGTAATTTGTTTTGAGAAATTCGGGCTCAAATTTTTACCCCAAAAATGGGTCATTTTGGCTTTTCTTAGTTAATCAAAAATTACGCCAAAAATATCCAGTCGGTCACAGACATAATTATATCAATGTGAGCCCATTACGTAGCCCAACAAAATTTAAGAAGGGTATAATCTCCAAAACATTTTATAAGTTAATTTATTTTTGTTTGATAGACAAAAAAAGGTCGTTTTTACTACATAAAATACCAACTTTTTATTTAAAAACAATTTTTAAACGGTTTACAATTGTTTTTAGAAATTATACCCTTGTTAAATTTTGTTGGGCTACGTAAGGGGCTCACATTGATATAATTGTGTCTATGACCGACTGGGTATTTTTGGCGTAATTTTTGATTAACTAAGAAAAGCCAAAATGACCCATTTTTGGGGTAAAACTTGAGTAAAACACAAAGCACGAATGATTATTTGAGTGCTATTTTTGAATGTAATTAAGTTGAAAGAAACGTAAAGTGTTTTTTTTTAGTTTGTAAGAAAGATGCACAGAATATTTCGAACACATGAAAAAACGAAAATTTCAAATTGAAAAAACGAAGATTTCATAAATTATCAGTTATTTCGAATTTCTCATTTGAGGGGATGAGGCCTAATAATAAATTCATGACGTACTTTATTTAAGTTGATGAAAAATTAAAACACAAGTTGTCTGAACATCAAAATCAGCCTGAAAAACATTTTTCAGACCAATTTTGGTCTGAAATGACAAAATGCAGACCAGCTTTTCTCGACACTACGACGATTTTTTGATTTTTTTTTGAGAATCTGAATCACGGTCAATAGTGCTTTGATATGGTGCCACACTTGACTCCTTGTGAGTTTCCTTTCAGATGGTACTCAGCTGGAAACTGGCTGAAAAAATTACCCTACGCCTTTGAACAGAAATCACATTGCGTTTAATTGAACTCTGATGTGGATCTAGGATTAGGAATAATATCATAAGGTTATCGATAATTAAAAAAAGCATTCGAAAATTTGGCAATATGATACTAGCTAGCACTAAGAACATGTATATATAATAAAACAGCCGCAGTTTATATACAAAGAAAAATGTTGTGGCATCGTATTTCAGTGACTCCTCGGGAGGATCAAATTGTCTGAGGGGTAAAGCGAGTTACCACAACAAGCAGTTGGAGCGGACTCTGGTGGATATGAGCAGACAGTTGTTCATTGAGAAGACTGAGCCGGGACTGAGGGTTGCGAGGAGAGTAGGAAACATGTACACTCCCTCACTATACTCCTGCTTAGTCTCATTCCTCACCAGGTGAGCTAGATGTATGCTACAGAAGGTCTATGACGATCTCTGACTAATTATTCAATGGTTGTTATGCTAATTATGTAGCAATCGTGAAAGGGGGGGGGGGGCTACATCGCATGTTTTCAGTTTTCATAATTTTTTGAACACGTCCTATTTGAGTGTTTTTTTGCTATAGATGAACGTATAAAGAACAAATGTGTTCAGGATAGATAATTTATTCATCATGTATAATTTAATAAATTTATGATTACGTTGTTTGTTTTGCTTGTCGGGAGAACGTTCAATGTCTAGAACGTTCATGTAAGTCTGGAACTTTAATTTAACTAGTTAGAGGCATCTCTAAGAGTCTATAAGAACTGCTTTTACCGAGAATTTCCTAATTGTTGGTCATTATCAGTGAAATTTTCAATCAACTATGTAATATTTTATTTTTCACCATTTTCTGTAACGACGTTTCACAATCATTGATCAGCCCAAGGGAATCAATATTTCTGTCGGTGCATGTATGACACATGGGTCTCAAAATATAGATTGGTCATATTGGTCGTAGATGTCAACTGGGGGTTGATAAATCAGACGATAAGCAAATTAGACGGAGGTACTTAAAAAGAAATTAGACGATTTTGCAAAACTGCAATTGTGAAAAAATGGACGAAAGTGAGAGAGATTAAAATTGTTTGCAGGCAAATTGCGTTAGAAAAATAAAATTGTTTGCAGACAACAGTTGAATTTCGGTGGCCAAAAATTTCTCAAGTCAATCATACATCCGTCTAATTTCGTTTTTGTAGCATCCTTCTAATTTGCTTATTGTCTAATTTCCTAGGCATAATGTCAACTATATGCGTTTTTTTGTTTTTGTTTCGCGAATTTCGGCGAACTCAAACTTAATTGCACAAGCAATGCTTGTGTTATAGTATGAACTATCTTTTTGTTCCAACCTAAGTCGCAAATATTGTTGCGACGCAAATATTGTTGCGATAAAATTTGTTCATTTTGATCAATAACCAACTATTAAGTACAGCCAATGCTAAGGATTTTAAAACAGACTATTATTGTTCCGACTTTCATAACGAAAGTAACGGAATATTTGTGCTCGGGGTGGTTTTTTTTCAGACAATTTTCTAACTAGCCTAAGACTTTTCTAAGACTTTTTAACTAGCCATTTTGACGGGATTTTATATCATTCAAAAAGTGTTGTTGTCCTGAGCTTAAATTTGGAAAGATATTTTACCTGTGATCATTTTTCATAAAATTAGGGGGGTTTAAAAATTGCCGTTTTGGCCAATTTGGGACAATTAACGCGCGATATATTTTGCTCTATTAACGCGTAAGCGGAGATTTAATCTGTCATAGAAATCGTTCCAAGTTGGTTGAAGGAAGCTTATTTGCCATAATTGTTTTGTTACTAGGAGCGAATTTTATCATTTTGTCATTAACATGGCGTGTGGGGGGGTGATTTTAACAAAAAATCTCAAATTAAAAAAAAATTTCATTTTTTCTAATACATTTAATTTTTTTCATGTTATTACCGCTCCATAGAGTGCTCTTTGAATTGAGGCATGTTTTTTGGTAAATTTCTTCTTTTTTCAAATTGACTGGTACTGCTAATGCGTCATAAATGGCGTGCGTCTTTTATAAAGTTTTGTAGACTCGTGCAGTTTTACTTTTGTTTTACTCGTGCAGTTTTTCCCAGTACCGTTATCGGTCATAATTCGGCTCGTGTATGCGAAGTGCAACTTCGCTTCTTTGTTCATACTTGCTTTTGTCATGAAACGAACTATCATCCGTGTAGTTTCCAGTTACCTTGTTGATCTAACTTTTGTTTGTTTCAGTGGAGTGTCGAGTAGTGATTTATGTGGCAAAAGAGTGGCCATGTTCAGCTATGGCAGTGGGATGGCTGCCACCATGTATTCCATAACAGTATCAAACAAAGAAGAGAGAGTCGACAGACTCCTCAAAGGTAGAAATTTATTCTGTATTCGAACATCGGATTGTTAAAGCACAGTAGCCAGCTATCTCCAATAATTTAAAATTATTGCAAACTTTCAAAAGCTATAAAAAATGAGAGTAGAAAAACAAAAATGAGGTGCCCATCTAAGAGATTATCCAGATATGTTTTCATTTCTGAATTCAAGAAAAAGCACAAAAAAATTGCCATGACGATGATGATCAATAAAGTTGATTGCATTTTAAGCGTTCATGGATTAATAGAAATTAGCAGCGCTTGGTTTTTTACAGGACTAATGCTACATTTTGGCGGTTTGATTGGCAGTTCCTTTCAGAATCTTCCACGGAATGGAAAGATTAACAAGGATAGCTGGTTACTGTGCAAGTAGCACTGAATGTTCGGGCCATAATCTTACAAAAGTACAAAAAAATTACAATTTTTTTTCAAATGAGATATTTTTTTTCTGCGTGGTTTGATAAAAAGATCTGAAGAAAAAAATAGAAATTAGGCATATGTGACATTCATAATAAAATAGTTGGACGGGAAAACAGTTTTTGTAGAAAAAAGACTAGAAAAACGAACAAAAAATCAAAAAAAACTGAGGGTATTAGCTCGAAAATAGACCAAAAAATCTTTTTTCGACACTGAGAAAAATTTTTCGCAATTCGAATCACGACTGAAAGGGTTTTAATATGATATACCACTCGACCCATTGCAATGATTTTTTGTGGTACCTGACTTTGCGTGGAAAAAAACTAAAACACACCCGAAAACAAAGTTTCTCCACATTTTTCAAATGGTCGAATAATTACGCTTTCCAATAACAAAAACGCAAAAGGCCAGAAAAATAGAGCCTGACTCTTATTTTCTATTGTGGATTGTAATAATCAGATATCGCAGAGGAACAAAAAATTGATTATTGGTCCAGTGTTCGCAAATTGGGTCGGCTTTATTGTAAAAAAAAGTGTCTATATTGAATTATACAAATTATTGATACATATTTTATAACTCGTGGAAAATTAGATTTTTTTCTGGTTCGGCGGTACTTTTGCAATTGCCTGTTGATCTTTCTTTACCCTTGCGACAAGCAAGGGTATTGCAATCGGGTACTTAAGTTTTGTTTCCAGCAAATAACTTTGTTCACAGATTAGTCTAATTTATAAATGATAAATTTGGGTTCAGTTCATACTAAATTCAATTTTCTTTGCGTCTCATAAAAGTGTCTATCGTAAAAGTTCTGTCTATATTGAATTATACAAATTATTTATATATATTTTATAACACGTGGAAAATTAGATTTTTTCTGGTTCGGCGATACTTTTGCAATTGCCTGTTGATCTTTATTTACCCTTGCGACAAGCAAGGGTATTGCAATCGGGTACTTGAGTTTTTTCCACTAAATAACTTTGTTCACAGATTAGTCTAATTTATAAATGGTAAATTTGGGTTCAGTTCATACTAAATTCAATTTTCTTTGCGTTTCAGGTACTTTTGGTCTGGAGGTAACGAATACGCCTTGTTTGACCTGTTTTTTTTCAAACAGGAAATATTCCGTTTTAGAAAAAAGTATTGGCTTATTATTTGACTGCTTATGCTTTGTCGGCATAGTTGCCACGTCAATGTTTTTTGCTAAACGAAATATACATTAGTTGCTCTTAGTGTTTTGATATTATTCTGCTGTATGAAATTTCTTGACGTTTATTTTCTTTGCCGTTTTAGGCTTGGTTGGTTTCTGACTATATTATATCGGCTTAATGGCCTCATACTGCGTTTTTCGACGAGCGAAAAAAAGTTACTGTGTGCATGTATGTTTTGAGGCTGAGGGGGACTCAATAATTTTTGTTTATCGTAATTTTTTTTAGTTTTCATCTTTTTTATTTTCCTTGTTTTTCGGCTTAATAGATTTCGACTTGTATTTAATCGGCTTAGTGGCATCATATTGTTCACGAGCGAATACTTTTTGAGTTAATCTGTGTTTTGAGGGCGAGGGGGACTTTTTAACTTTTTGTAAGTCTCAAGCCTTTTTGATTTTTTTTTTCGGCTTAAAGGGTTGCTAAGTATTTACGGCTTTTACCAATTCTAGCGTGATTCATTTTAACAGATCTAGTTTTTTTATATTTTCAATTTTTTCCGACTTCGCGGATTTCTTATTTTGTATCACAAGTGATAGCTTCGCCTCTCTGTTGATTTTTCCAGAGAAAAAATCAGTCTCAGATTAAGTTCGCTTCAAAATTCTTTATTTTTGATTGAGAAGCATCAAGTCGATGCCATGTTGGTTGTCATCTGTTTAGTTAAATGTAAACCTAATTTAGGCATATCCAGTGTTGACTCCATTTTGGACCAGAGAGTGAAGTGTTCTCCCGAAGAATTTGTGAGACTGCTGGAGCAGAGGGAGATGAGTCACAACCGGGCACCTTTAGATCCCAGCCAGGACACCAGTTGTCTACAACCAGATACTTACTATCTGGCAAAAGTGGACGGAAAACACAGGAGGACTTATTTGCTGCATACTGCCGAGGGCTGAAATGTATTAACATACTACCAACGCAATAATTTTGTTAAAAAATAATGTATACAATCAAGAGGAAATCAAAAATTTTGACGTCAAATTAAATTTCGTTGCGCTGTAATTTGTTGCTGCTATTTACTCGTTTCTCCTTTGGCATATTTTTTTCTAATGAGATTGTGATGTACCTAATATTTTCGCAGTTAGCTAAAAATGTGTGATTATATGAACTCTCATTTCGATAAAATTTTGACAAATATTTCTTAAATTGAGCTTACTGCAATGCAATGAGGAAATTTGTTGCATTTGCAGGGCAAAATGAACAACGAAGTTGGAATAGTTTTTAGAAGATACTTTTTTATCGGAATGGTTTTTTATTAGATGTATTAATGTTCTTAGTCTTTCTAAGGTGGCCAGTTTGCTGAAATTATCAAGTGTGTCATTGTTCCGACAGTTGGTGTCTTCGTTGAATTGATTGGTTCCGCAATTTCATGGCATTGCCGCAATGTCGCTCGTAAACATCTTTCTATTGTCTTTCACTGTTGGCTGTTTTGCTGCTGATGTCTCACTTTTTTGCATTAGACAAAGGTTTGGTGGGGTGAAGTGGAAGAACTTCTAAATTAAGTACATAGTGTTAAGTAAGTGCTTAAGCTCTAATTAGCCCAGTTAATTATCATGAACACTTAAATTAATCGTGTCTGTACAAAACAGTCCCATACAAAACAGTCCAATACAAAACAGTCCGAAAAAATATAGAAAAGTAAAAAAAAACAGTCCCATACAAAACAGTCCCAAAAATAGTCCGAAAAATAGTCCAAAAAACAGTCCCATTGATCGAAGTGATAATCGTTCTAGAAGCTGATAAGTAAATTTATCTCATATTAAACACATTTTGATTCCAACTAATCCGGATAACAATAGGTAGTATAGTAGAGAAATTAGAAACACCTAGATAACAGCAGCGGCCACTCAATAAAAGCAATAATATTCGAAACATTAAAGTTAACGCAATTTAAGAAAGCGGCCACCCAATAAAAGCAATAATATTCGAAACATTTAAGTTAACGCAATTTGATTTTTCTTTTCCCTCCGCCCAACCCTCTAAGGTTGAACCCTTTGGTGTACCCTAGATATACCCGTTATCATATTTACCCGAATTTCAACTTTTTCCGGAAAATTGGAAAGTTTTTTTTCTGCCGCCGGAGATTCGATCCTTTGATCTGTAGAGTTTGAGACTAACGCTCTAACCACTATACCATGATTCATTTGATTTTCATCCGAATTATTGTTCCAAATTTGGCTCTTTGATCTTTAATTGCCCCTGTTTGAGTTTTCAAAGCGTAGATCAATTCTGTCGGCGCCAAAAGATCAAGGTCAAGAAATTCAACTGGTTTTGGACTGTTTTGTATGGGACTGTTTTTTAGAACCTTTTTTTTTGATGTTTCGGACTCTTTTTTATGGGACTGTTTTGTATATTCACCAAATTAATCTCAGATGACAATATAAAAAAACTTTCTCGCATTTTCGGTCGGCAAACTTTTAATTCGGCATGTTGGCCCCTCGCCCTTTCGAATCATTACAGCATCTATATTGGCAATTGAATTGTTCATGTTTTGTTTATGAAGTTATTATAAAACATTTCAAATTTGTGTATGAGTTCAAACAGTGCTGATTTGAAAAATCCAGGCAAAACGCATCAAAACTTGAAATTTGAACGCGTTTTTCTTAAATTTGGTTGACTTCAGGTTGAATGTGATGAGTAGAACATTTGCTGAGAATTTCAGCAGAAATAATATAGTTAATAAAGACTAAAATCAACTCAATTTGACAAAAATGCGTTTTAAATTTCAGTTTGTATGCTTATTGTACGGATAATTTAAATCAGCTTTTGATTCAGTCGCAATTTTCGGACCTAGCGGGCAGTAATGGGGAAAACAAATCAAAATCACCCTGCTATTTAATCTATTAAGTTTGTAATAGTCAACAATTTTTTTCGATAGCTAAGAATGTCGTCATTTCTATATGAAATACCAAATTTGTGTTTATAGATTTGGATCTCTTTAATTATATCACACCTCGGGTACCTAGTAACGAATATCCCCTTATAAAAAATAAATCAACAGTTAAGCATATCAGATTTTTTAAACTATTTACGAATCTTCCCCACCCTTTGCAAAATGGGGGATATAGTTAAAGAGATCCAAAGATTTTTTTGAGTTTTTTATGCAAAGTTTTTGATAAATATTTTTTTGATTTTTTTTAGCCTGCATAAAAAGCGCACTGTGATTAAGTTTGCTCATCAACTGATCTGGTATTTTTAGTGTAATTTTTAATTGCCTTAAGGACAAAAAAGTTCGCTGACCTAATTACCTGATTTAGGTTTTGGGAAAAAATTGATGTAAAGGCGCCAACCGAAAAGAAAGACCAGAGTTCAAAAAAGGTAAGAGATATATCCCTACTTTCGCAGTATTTTAAATCACAAAAACACTAAAGTAACTTTTTGGATCAATCAACCCATGTAGAAAATGGGAATTATGGGATCATGCGGTCTCACGTTTGAACTGACCTGTTCTGCCTAATTTTGACCCAATTGAGTTGACCCTTTTAAAAGGAATAGATTCGATTTAAGTTTCTCCCAAAAATTTGCACCCTAAGAACTCTTTATAAGTTCCTTGTAATTTTTCTCCCCGTCTTTTTTTGTCTGAAGTTATCTCATTTTGAGAGAAACGAGTTTGAATTTTTCAGTTTTGCTGGATTTATCCGGTTATTTACACTTGTGAGCTTTAGTGAGCGTTAGTGTTTTACTACGACTATTTTTTTTCTAATCTAAGTCACAAATATTGATGCTGCTTTTGGGGCACCTTTACAGCTTTTTGATAGCATGTGCTTCGTCATTCGAATAGTAATAAGTTAACACAGTTGATGCAATTTAAATTCAATAAATGAACCGAAAAAAGCTATTTGTTTCAAACAACATAACAATCATAAAAACTCGATTTCAGAAATTTTCTAAATCGAATATACATCTCGCATTTTTTGAAATACAGAATATGTTCATATTGTGGCATTATGTTTTCCAATTTGTTACATGCAAAATTCGTGTGGATACCTTCAGTTTGTTATATTCGAAATTTTTACTTGCTAAGTTGTGTCTATTTGTATTTGGTGCCATTTTTGCTGCATATCATTTGTAATTTGTAAGCATATGTAGCTGCTTTGTTATTTGACTAGTGTTTGACGATTAAAGCAATTGTTGACGAGAGGGCAATGCTTGAGACTTCATACGTAGCAAAGTTTTACTAATTCGAGGCTTATTTCTATTTTTTCTTTTTTCACTTTATAAATCTGCTTTTTTGTCTTGTTTTCGCTGGTGTTTGTGAAGCACAGCTGCGCCTCTGTGTTTAAATCAGCGCTATATGAGCTTGTTCAGCTCAAAACTCAGTGAAAAAAGCGTGAACAAAAAACAATCAAATTTATCATCAGATTTCTGCGAAATTTTACTGCTAATTTTAAAAATAAATAGAGATTATCCATTGGAGAAATAGAGATTGTTCATTAAAAACGTGGTTTTAAAACACCCTGAGTAGTGCGGCAAATGTTCGGGAAGTAAGTTAGTTACCTATATTGAAATTTACAAATTAGAATTTTGTTAGTTTCAGAAGAGTTACTGATGTATAGCTGCTGAATATTCAGCCTTACTTGACCCTTCTATTATTAAAACAGCGAATAATGACCGAAAACAGCGAAAATCCCCATCAGGTAACTGCAGCCGTCGACGAAGTCGAAACTAATATATATTGCTCTTCTTGTGAGGAAAAATTGCAAGAAGAATTGGCATTTAGATGTCGAGATTGCGAAACTAACGAGAGAGCGGTTTCTGGCAGCAATTTACAAATCTGCGATACCTGCATTGGTTGGCATGTCAAAAAAATGCATGCTGTTATTGATTATCGTGGCCACGATTCAGAAATATGTTCTCAGCACAAAATTATCTGTTCGCATTTTTGCGTGGACTGCGAAAGCTTACTTTGTTTGAAGTGCACACTCGATCATGGTGGACACAATTTGAAAACTATACAATCGGTAGCTTCTGAAGCAAGGAAACAGGTCAGGCTCTCATGATAACACTAGTTAATTTTTTCTTAAAAAAGTTACTACGATTGCTCCGATCACGTATGAAGACGGAACTATACATATGTTATTTTTCCGACGCTAAATCTGATAACATTAGGAAGTAAGGTTTTTTTCATGCAAAGTCTGATACCGCAACAAATACTGCCGTTGTTCTTACTACAACAAACATAGTAGAAAAAACATTCGAAGCAGTCAAACACATGGTCGGAACACAGTCGAACACAAAATTGAACAAAAAATTGAAGCAGAGGATCTTAAATTCGAAAAATATTCGAACGCAAAGTCGAACACAGAGTCTGAACCTTGTGGAACACAAGAAAAGAGCTACACATGATCTTACATAATTGTATGATAGGCATTATTTTGTTCAGAAAAAACTGTTATTAGTTGCCGCTACAGCAAGTCGAAATCTCACCTATTTTTTGCAACAAAAAATATTCACGTTTTCTTAAGTTAGTTTTTATGTGAGAATTAAGCTTCCATTCTCCACTTATAGCTTTCTCAACGTATAAATTTTTGCTTTATTCTCTTCAATGTTTTGACTTTCGAAGAAGTGACGAAATATGTGCTCGGGGTGTTTTTCTCCAGTCTTTTCAAGCAGCAATTTTAAATGGATTTTTATAGTCTTAAAGATATTGATAACCGGGCCTCAAAAGTGAAAACATTTCACTTGTGATCTTTTTTGCCAAGTTAAAATGGTTTGAAATTGAGACTACTACGGAAAAAATTCACTCTGTGCTTTACATAGCGTGTTTTGGGTGGGGGAGGGGAGATAAATGTAAGAAATAAAAATATTTTTTAGAACATCTCATTTTTTTCAAGTAACGTAGAAAGAATTTTTGAACTCTTGTTTTCAGCTCGATTTTTTTTTGAAATTGAAAATGGCAGCTCGAATCGCAGCTGAAAAGAATCGTTATTATTTTTTACTCATCTTCGAAGGACGTTGTCTAGTGCTGCCTCAACTAAAATAATTAAAATTAGTTTTCTGACAGCAATACTTTCTGCTTGCTTTTACTAGGAAATTGAGAAAACATTTGCTGAGATTTTAAGTGAAAAAAAAAACAGCCCTATTTTCAAAATAAAGCGGAACGTTCGGGGAGCTTAATTGGCTTCATTTTCTCACAAATCAGTTGTTTTCAGATTTAATAGTATTTTTGGGTGCTTGTTTTCAAGTCAATCTCCTTCAGGCTTCCTGAACAAATCAAATCAAATCATATGCATAATTTGAAAATACTCGTGGATGGCGCTGAATATTTTTACGGTTGGCTAAAGAGGACTTGAACACCACGTTGTTATATTTTGCGTCCCTTTGTTTGAGGTATCAGGTTGAGTTGCTGCTGTTTTTTTTTTAAATTTTTCAAGGTTTCTGTTAAACTGTTAATTCCATATCGTTTTAGTTCTGTTGAATTTTCCCATGATGAAACTTAGGTGGCGTACAGTTGTTTTTTTGTTAAATATAATTATTGAAAGTTTTTTTTCGAGCAGTCTACGAGCAAATCGGGTTTGTTGACAATCATTTTTTGCATGAGAATATATGTAACTTAATTTTTTTTTGGTTTTCTGCTGTCAAATGTTCTGCTGATTTCACCATGTCCTGACTTCACTCTGTCGTCTTTCAGTTGTTCACAGTTCCTAACAGTTTTCTAGTGCGTTGAACTTTCTTGATTGATGCTGCTGAAACTTTTCTTCTAGGAACTCAGCGGATTTCCGTGTTTTGTATGATTTTTTGTTGGTTCCGTCAAAATCTATTTGAGCTACGCTGTCGAAACATCTTGCGGTTCAATGTTACGAAGTAGTGTTGCTGAAAGTTTTTTTGATGGTTTCTCAAAAAGCTGTTACCTATGTTTTCTTTATATGCTGTAGATCATCTTGGGTAGGCAGCAATAGAAAAATAGTCGCCGTTAAGTTTGATAGTAAAGTATGTTGCATAATGATTTGTCGTTGAGCATGGGGTAGCTGATACGATGCAAGTGGAAATATGCTGAAATTGCCGTTGATGCTCTCTTCTACGATTTTTTTTGAGGGTCTTACTTGATCGAGTGTGTACAAAAGGTCGAATTGCTTAGTCATTGGTTCTTGCGTGCATGGTATGCGAGTGAAAACGTTTTGGTTTTCGTATGAAGATCTGTTTTGTGTCTATTGTTTTCTGTAATTTTTAAGATTGCACTGTTTTATTTTGTGAGATGTGTGTGTTAGCGTTACCGTTGTCCAAAAAGCGTACGCGCCAATGAATCTCGGGCTGTGTTGAAAAGTCACTGATATTTAAAGAAGACATGAATCAGCTCTGCAACGCACATGCTGGAGTGGCCGGGTTGCTTGATTGGTTTTCTGCTGCTGGCTAGCGTTGAATCGCAGTTTGACTCGATAGTCGCGCAATGCTCATTGTTGAAACTGGTTGCACTCGCTGCATCTCGGTTTTGAGTTGCAATCTTTGACCTAGTCTTTTCTAGAGAATTATAGCATAGCTTGTTCTCCACGTTGTTCTTTTTCATTCAATTGAATATTTTTTGTCGTTTTTAGCTATTATAGCAAAGCGTGTTCTCCAAAGTGAGTTTCTGAATTAAATGAAGAGTTTTCTGAAGTTGCTGTTGCATTTGAGTGTTTGGATAGTTTGCTGTCAACATCTTGTGAAACTGGAGCGTTTCTTGTAGCTGCCTTTTTTGAGGTTTGTGAAAATTATTGTAGGTAGCTAAGAGTCACTGAATAGTTGTTTTACATTTTTACTTTCTCGGTTTCATGTACTAGTCAATCTCCATCCAGGTTTCCCGAAAAAAATGTCCCTTTTTTACTCAATCTTATCCTAAATTTGAGAATACTCGTGGATGACTGCGACCAATTCCGATTGTTTAAAGGACACTTGAACGCTGTGTTGTTCTGTTGTTCGTCCTCGTTGAGTATTTTCGAGTATTTGTTAGGTTTCTGTTAACTCCTTGTCGAACTGTCAATTCCCTGTCGCTGTAACTTGGGTTTAAATTTTCAAATAAGTGGTTTTGAAATGGTCTGCAGTGTTTTGGGTTTATTGTGATAACTGAAAGCCTGTTCCGTACAATCAACAAGCAATTCGTTGAAAAGGCGGCTTTCGAGTTAGTACGAGATTTAATTTAATAATTTGGTTGCACTCGCAGCATCCGTGTTTTGCGTTGCAGTCTTTCAACTGGTGTTGTCCTAGGCTGAGTAGGAGAAATTGGCACTGGTGCAGAATTTGATATAACTGGTGAGTTTTAGCGTGATTTAAAAAAAAAAACAAATCACAGCTCGTATCACAGCTAAAAGCGATCCGCTGTTTTTACTCAACTTCAGAGGGCGTTTGTTTAGTGCTACATCAACAAAAGAGAAATGGCTTCGATTTTCTGTCAGCAATAATCTTTGTTTAGTTTAATTTGGAAACTGACAATGAGTTGAGAAAAAAGTTCAAATGGAAAAAGCCAAGCAAAATGTTCAGGATGCTTAATGGGCTTCAATTTTTTCAAAGCTCTCAAATTAAATAGTTTTTTTTCTGTGTCTGTTGTCTTTTTTGACATGTTTTCTGGTCAATCTCTACCGAGGTTTGTGCTTGATGTTAGATGTTAAAAGAAGTACGCATTGAAGTCGATGACAATCTGCTTTTTTACTCAATCTTATCTTGCATTTGAGAATACTCTTCGATGACTGCGAATTATTCCGGTTGGCTAAAAGAGACTTCAACACCTTGTTGTTCTGTTGCATGTCCTTGTTTGTGAGGTATCACTTTTTTCGAATAATTTGTCAAGTTTCAGTTAAACTGTCAGTTTCTTGTCGCTTTAACTTGGGTTTAAAGCTTTAATTAGGCAGTTTCATTCGTTTTAAATCATGTGGTAATTTTATTAGTTGCTTTCAGTTTCTCTTCATTTTTTCATGTTTATTTTAAAAATCAAACTGCCTCGCGGCTTGCTGGACATGTTGGTTTGTGTCTAATAGATGAAATTAAAATATACATCCAATGATGATATTCTGCGAATTTCGCTAACTATCTTGTCTATCAGTCTCTGTTTTTTTTATTCAAGAACTCCTTCGTTTAACTATATGAATAAAATTGTTTCCACATATGTTTGCATCATGAGAGGGTCAAAAACAGGTCGTTCAATTTATGAGTCAATTTGAGAAGAGCGTAAAGTTTTTTAAAGCATAAAATGATGAGTTGAATCATTCACAAAAATTACTCCACGAAGAACTAATTCTGACGGAGGAGTACCTTTACAGAAAAACGAAAATTGCTGCAGGTTGATTAGAAGTTAGTCACCTGAGGCTGGAAAATGTTGGAAGATTCCGTATTTTTTCAAAGCGAAGAGACTACAATGAAATCGACGCTGAATCAGTTATCAATGAGCGAGAGCTGTTGTGGTCATTGGAAAATTCGGATGCTTCCCTTTTTACTGAAATAACAGAATGCAGTCAAACGGCAATGGAACAGTCAAGACGCGTTTTAATTCGACAGAAAAATTGATGTCGCACCATTTTGTTACGACGGGTCTAAAATAGCCGATGTACTTGGCAACTTTTCTGATGATTTCGTTGGTTTTCTTATGTTGCTCACTTTCAAACAAATAGAGATCCATAAATTTTCTGATGAAACCTTCAAAATATCCGAAGAAGTCTTGGAACAAGAGTTTTTAAAGAGTCTCTCTGAAAGTGTTCAAAATTTTTGACCGTAGACAAACATAAGACGAGTGGCAGATTATGTACTGGAAAAAATAATACAGACACAGAAGAATGGAGTTTTTACCGAAAAGTTGGTTCCAATTTCGATGAAAAATCTGCAATCAATGTTGAATTAAGTGACGAAGTACCTTTATTCAAAAAGCAATTGATGTAGACTTAGTTTATTTTATAACTACTGAGCTTGTTTTTGAGTATCCTAAATTGCTGATGACGAGCTGCTCAAAGTTATATTTTTTGATGCAAAAAATATCAATTGTTTGATAAAATTCCACAGAAGACTGCTTAGCAAGCTCTACAAGTCACAAAAAGAAGTATAGCTGTATCGAGTGAGCCCAGCTATCTTTTTGCAACTCTGCAGATATAACCTCCAAGGATCATACCACGACTTCTGCATTTCAATATTCAGTGGTGTTTTACCAGCCTGGGTAACCTTAACTTTTCTAAATCGAGAAGCTGGCACCGGTGCAGAAATTGATGTAACAGGCGTGATGTTTCCGAAATAGCAAATGACAGCTCGCATCACATCTAAAGACAATCCACTTTGTTTTTTCATTCAACTGCAGAGGGCGTTGTTTAGTGCTACCTCAACTGAATAAAATGGCATTGATTTTCTGTCAGCATTAATCTTTGTTTGTTTGTTTTTTTTTTTAAATTTCGCGATTAATTCAGAAAGAAAACACAAACAGTTTAAATAGAAAAGCTGGCAATTTTCTTAAAAGCAAATCAAAACGTTGACGGTGCTTAGTGGGCTTCAATTTTTTTCTTCAATTTTCTCAAACTAAGTAGTTTTTTTTTTTCAGTTTCTATAGTTTTTTTGTTTTCATGGCTTCAAGTCAATCTCCACCGAGGTTTGTGCCTAATATTGGATGTTAAAAGAAGTACGCATTGAAGTCTATGACATTCTGCTTTTTTTACTCAAGCTTGTCTTGATTTTGAGAATTTTCGTGGATGACTGCGACTAATTCCGGTTGTTTATAGGACACTTGAACACCGTGTTGTTCTGTTGTATGTCCTCGTTTTTGAAGTATAAGTTTTTTCGAGTAATTTGTTAGGTTTTTGGGTTATCGCTGTAACTTGGGTTTAAAACTTCAAATAAGCGGTTTGAATTGATTTGCAGTGTTTTGGTTCTATTGTGATAACTGAAAGCCTGTTCCGTGCAATCAACAAGCAATTTGTTGAAAAGGCGGCTTCCTAGTTGTTATGAGAATATCTTTCATTTAACTGTTTGTTTGCACTCGCTGCATCTGTGTCTTGAGTTGCAGTCTTTGACCTCGTGTTGTCGTAGAGAATTGTGGCATAGCTTGTTCTTCTGAGTGAGTTACCTTTTCTCATTCAATGAAGAGTTTTCGTTTAAGGTATTATGTTGTTTGATTTTTCTGAGACTCTTTCTTGTCGCTATTGAAAGTGTTTAAAATCTGCTGCTCCGTCACATCGTAGCAATAATAATTTAGTCATACGGAGTGGTAGTGTTAGTAGTAAAATAGTGGAGTGGTAGTAAGAAAAGAGCTGAGACCGAGGACCTGAAACCTAGACAAATTTTTTTTTGCGAAATGAGGCTGCTCTTTAATTGGACAGAGCTGACAGTGTTGGGCCTCAAACATGTTGTTGTTTCATATGAGAAAAGAAAGAGCTCGGGGTCTTGATCTGTTTCAATTTTAAATTATCTGCTAATTCCCTCAGTTGTTTTCAGTTTCTCAAGTCTTTTTTGAATGTATGTTTGATAAGAATCTCCCTCGCTGCTTTCTGGACAATTTAGGTTGCGTCTAATGGTAGTAATTAAAGTAAGCACCCATCGATTGCATTTTGAGGTTTTGGTTAACTATCTTATCTTTTAGTACAAGTTTTTTTGCTCAGAACTTTTTGGTTTAGCTGTATGAATATAATTTTTCTCACATTTTTTTAAATATCATGAGAGGTCCAATAATAGGTCTTCCAACTAATGGATCAATTCGAAGAGCGGGAAAAAGTTTTTCAGCATAAGAAAGATGAGTTGGATCAGTCGCATAAAATACTCCACGAAGAATTAATTCTGACGAAAGAGTACCTTGATAGAAAAACGAAAACTGCTGCAGACTTACTTTTGAAGAAATGCAGATTGGTTAACTTTGAATCAGCTGAGGCTGGAAAAATGTTGGAAGATTCCCTAACTTTAAAACGAAGCGACTACAATGAAATCGACGCTGAATCAGTTCTCAATGAGCGAGAGCTGTTGTGTTCCTTGCAAAATTCGGATGCTTCTCTTGTTACCAAAATAAAAAGGATGCAGACAAATTGCAATGGAACATTGAAGAAGCGTGCTAGCTTCACAGAAAACTCCTTTTATGTCGAACCATTTTCTTACGACGATGCTAAAATTGATGAGTTAGTGGGCAAATTTGTTGATGATGTCGTCGTTTGTCTTAAATTGCCCATGTTCAAGCAAGTAGAGATCCAAAAATGTTCTGAGGAAAGCTTCAAAATGTCCGATGAATTCTGGGAACAGAAGTTCTTAAACAGATTTCCTGAAAATTCTGATATTTTTGACTTCGAACAAACAGAAGACGAGCTGCAGATTACCTGCTGGGAAAATGATAAAGTCATAAATGAATGGATTTCACGCGAAAAAGATGATTGCAATTTCAAAGACAAATACATAATCAATGTTAAATTGAGTGGCGACGTGCACTTCATCCAAAGAGCGATTTACTCATATTTAGTTTTCATTATAACTAATGAATCTGTATTTGAGTACACTTTGAAAAGTAGCGAGAATCCGGTCTTGATAACGGAATATAATTGGAATGATTTTGAGTGCCCGCTGGGAATACATCCAGATGTTGGTATTATGTACTGGGACAAAGCTTTTGATGCAATTAAAGCATCAGAAGAAGAAAGCGTTAAGATACATTGCTCCGTGAAGCCATGTTTTTTCAGTCATCATTCGTGCAATTCTGACAGGGTCAGGGTCGTTTTCCAACTAATCAATTTTGATATCATTTACTTTGACCCAGAGCAACTGACATCTTTTTTCATTCCTTATTCTCTGCACAATTTTCCGCAAGTTGATTGGATCAAGGCCATTTATCCAGCTGAAGCTGAGAAAAACACGCTTATCTTAATTTGGTGCTGCAAGCTGAAACAGATCAAAGTATTCTTCAAGAACGAAGCAGAGGAGAATTTTTCTTTGAAAGAAGTTCACCAGTGGGAAGGTGACAATGCAGCCAGCATTATTAGAATCGAATCGAATTTGGACGCTTTGGATAGCTGGTTTCTGCATTTGAAATTCAAAAAAGGATCACTTGAATCGGACAAAAACAAAGTGACAGAGAAACTAAACGAGGGTTTCATAGTTTTCTAATTAGTATCAAAAGCGGTAAGAGGGTCTAAAAAGTCAGTATTCTTCGTTTGCTGTTCTTGCTCCTCAGATTTGGCGTTTTATGTCGCGATATAGATGATAAGAACGTATTGCGGAAGTGCTCCTAGCATAGTTATATTCTAAAAATTCTTTCACAATATATTTTTATGTTCCGATCATTTGAAAAATATGAAGGAACTTTGTATTCGAGTGTTTTAGTTTTTTTCTTTTTGTTTTCCACGCGAAATCATGTACCACAAAAACTCATCGAAATGGGTCGAATTATATATCATATCAATTTTCTCAGTGTCGAGAAAAACCGGTTTGATTTTGTCCAATTTCGAGCGAATGAGGCGTGCGTGAAGGCGTACAATAAATTATTTAAGCTTAATTTTAGCCGTCAAGTAAAGTTAGTTCGTGGAGTTTTTAAGCGCCATATTGTGAATCAGAAATTTCAAAAAATCAAAAAAATATAAATTTTTTTAACCATTTAAAAAAAAAATTTTCTAGTGATTTGTCTACAAAAATTGTTTTCGAATTGGCCTAGTTGACCATGACTGTCGAATATGCGTAATTTCTTTTTTTGTTTGGTTTTTTGTATATTCTTACGACTATGTGCTATTTGCACAGTAACGGGCTATCCTTGTTTCTATTTGTTAAATATTTTAGATTTTTTTGTCCTATTATTCTTATAGCTAAGATTAAATTGTGTTGGTCGAAAAAAAATCTATTTTGATTGAGCTTAAATTGAATTCATAAATATATAATCACAGCTTAATACAAATTGAAACTGTTGTAAAGTTTTTTATACCTATTTCTTTTGTTCGGATATCACAGCATTGAAGAAATGCGGAACTTTAAGCTCTGGAGAACTTTAAGAGAATCTAAAGGTTATGCTTTAAGAGACAATACCCTTTCTCTTTTATTAAGATGGAGAATATAGAATTGGCGTGAAGCTTTGATGGTAAACCATAGTTTTAAAATGGAAAGGCTTCCTTCTTGTGTTTTTTTCAGAATATTGTTTCTAACATTCATTTTTGAGACATTTTAGAGTTGGGCTTAATTTTTCTTGGTATTGTGAACCTTCTACTGTTTTTTCGTACTTCAAATTAAAAGTTCCAGCTGACATCATCAATGACATTTACAGCAATTCAATTTTATAATCAATAAACTATTGTCCGCCTAGGACCAACGCAAGACACAAGGCCTTTACTATGTTGGCCCTAGATAAACAAGTTATTAATCAAATTAGCTGAAGTTGATCATTTAACAAAAAAAAGATGGCAACAATTTTAAATCTTTTGAAAATTTTATTCAATTAATGTTCTTTTTTACATCAAATCTTTTAGATTTAAGTCTTAATGTTCTCGAAATATCACGGGATGTTCGATTGATGGGTTAACAAACAGTGTGCAATGAATATCAATAAATACTATTGCGCAAAAAGGAAAAAATCGGAACTTTTTCATTCTGCCGATAATCTAAAGGCAAAGTCATTTCTGACACTTGGTCATCAGATCCTTCAACGTGTTCATGCTTCTACTTATACTTAGTGGAATATGCTTCAATAAGCTCCAGGGGAGCTTATATAGGGGCAGGGACCACACCAACTGAGATCGAAATTAGTCGTCTTGCAGTAAGTGTTTTGTGTATAAGAGGTAGGAGTTTCTTAAATGATGCAACACATCAACGCAGAAATCAAATGATCGTATCGAAAAATGAGTCCATGCAGCTCTTGGTTATCGAATATATAGTTATGAAAGACATCTAAGACAGTTATGGTTGGATCTGTTCAATATTATCGAATAAATGCATCTTATTGAAAAAGTTATTCTGAAAGAATTATATTGAAAATTGAAGCAGAAAGTTAATGCCTACACCCCTAAAATATTGAAGCTTGCTTTCACTAATGATGATCGAAGACTTTGATGATTCTTTTTAAATTGGAGAAAGTTGAGTTTTCTAACTCCAGTTAATTGCTTAGTCATCTCTTTAAAGAGCTCATATAGATGTAACTCGACCACAGTAGCAAAATTATTATCAGCCGTCAGTTCATAAATGCTTTCACATTAACCTTAAAAAATTGAATCTGATAATTCTGTTTTGCATTTTGAAAATTGAAATCAATTTACTTTCATTAATTTACCCATACACTAAAACACCGCATTGAATGACGGGTTTAATGAATGAATTATATTGTAATTAAAAGATGTTTGCGAAGGAAAACAGTTCCAATTTAATGGTTTTTGTGAAGTACTTAGCAATTTTATGCAAGCTAGAACTTTTGAAATTCCAAACGTTCTGCCATAAGTTCATATCGTGTTGTTATTATGGTATGCTCTGGCAAACTCTTACTAGAAGATTTGGCAGAAAATCGATTAGAGCAAATATTAGATAAGACCCGATTGTGACGTCCCTGAATAATAGTTAAAACTGCCCATCATATTTTGATTGTATCCATTTTAACTTAAATTAACTTGAAAGTGACCTATTTCATGACTGGAATTGTGGTTCAACCAATTCTGCAGAACAAACTATTCTTTAGAAAGTTTAATTCTGAGCTAAAACCAGTCGTCGCTTCCTCGTCTATTATTTAGCAGTAACTGGATATCCAGATTTTTCGTTAAAGTTATAGATGGTTCACACAGACTTTAATTGACTATAGTTAAACTGCAAATTACATAAAATTTGGTTTTCAAACTTCAAGGGACAAATATTTTTTTGCATATATGAGTTCTTGAATAGATCACCAAGCAATTAAAATAGACTTTTTTCACCGATCATTTAAATCAATTTTTAAATTTCTTTTAAAAGTAAAAACCGCCAGACTAGAAATCTCAAGAAGGGTCTTGTGACGTCTTTGAAATGTCGTTAGCTTATAACTCACTTGGTTAGGTGCTGTTGAGTGTCATGATAGGTAAATTGGTAAAGTTAAAGAACATGAAATATCAATAGATGAAGTCCAAGTTATCTCAAAAGATAATTACTATGAAAATAATTGCTTGCTCATTTTTGGAGAACTGAATTGAAATTTAAGAGCTCAGCTCAAGAAAGAAATAGAATTGGGTGCTCAAATTTTTTTTCAAGAGATCAACTAAAGAATAAGGTTGAGAATCTGACCCAAACATCCGTCTGTAGAAGAATCGCCTTGCCGCTAACAGGGAACATTTGAGTTTATCTGTAAAACATTTGAATGATAATTACCAAACAGGGCCTATTATTTAGTGAAAAATTATGGAAGATGTAACTAATCCTAATCGAAAAGGTTTAAGATTGAAGATCGCACAGTGAGTGTTGACAACACACGACGAGAACCAGGCTCGTTAAAGCAAAGATCAAGGCAGTACCTGACTCATACAGTGCCGCAGTCAGTAGATGACTACAGCAAAAAGGAGTTGTTGAAAACAACTTTGAGGGACGATTTGACGGGAAAAGTACTTTTTTCCTATGCTGATCAGATGATAGATGTCATTTCAATTTAACAGGAAATTGAACTCAAAAACAGTTAAATCAGAATTTCCGTGCTCTTAATTCTTTTATTTTTTTTGGCTAGTGCTCCTTTTACTACAGTGATTTCAGTTGTCTGAAGTTACTCAAATAAACTGACTAGAGCTTTTTATTCTTAACAAATACTGGCACAAGATTCATAGTTTTGTCTTGAATTTGAACTGATTTTTCTCAAAAGTCATTTACCCAAAGAGCTTTCAATTTCTCTACTCTGTTGGTGTCTTTTCCAATTGAAAGCAGCAATTTAATTTAACTGATAGTCATCCGACTACGCTAAGATGGCACACATTTATATCAGTCGAATCTTTCGGAGGAACGTAAAAGGAAGACTTCTCACAGTTCGATCAATTGATTCAAGAGTGCGTCAGTGTAGCAGGAATCGATCCGACTCCAAGCGAAGTTTTTTCAACTACATTTGCGAGACGACGCGTTGCGGTTTTACCAGCCGGTAGGACTAGTTTCTCGTGCGAATGTTCCTGCTAGTCTCGCAGCACTAAAGGACTGCTTTTGCAATCCTCTTCAACAGGAAGTGCATGTACTCAAAATGGAAAAGTTTCGGCTCGACCCAAAAACGGATACATAAAAACTATCTGGTAAATCTCATAGAAACTATCTGTAGTTGTCCTAGGCAACTGTCTCTGACAGGGAAAACCTGCACCGAAGCAGAAATTAGTGTAGCTGTAGTGTTTTGGCGTGATTTTCTGAGTTAGCAAATGACAGCTCTTATCACAGCTGAAGAGGATCAACTTTGTTTTTTGACTTAACTGCAGAGGGCGTTGTTTAGTGCTACATCTATACAGGCATTGATTTTTGTCAGCAATAATCTTTTTTTGGTTTTATTCGAGAATTGGCGATTAATTCAGAAAAACATAAACAGTTTAAATAAAAAAGCTGACAATTTTCTCTAAAGCAAAGCAAAACATTCACGATGCTTACTTGGCTTCAATTTTTTTCAAATCTTTCAAACTAAACATATTTTTTTTCAATTTCTATAGTCTTTTTGTTTTCATGGTTTTAATTCAAGCTCCACCGAAGTATGTGCCTGTTATTAGATGATAAAAGAAGTTTGCATTGAAGTCCAGGACAATCTGATTTTTTACTCTGATTTTTAGAATACTCGTGGATGACTGCGACTAATTCCGGTTGTTTAAAGGACACTTGAACACCTTGTTGTTCTGTTGTTTGTCCTCGTTTTATAGGTAAAATTTTTTTCGAGTAATTTGTTAAGCTTCTGTTAAACTGTCAATTCCTTGTCGCTGTAACTTGGGTTTAAAACTTCAAAAAGCGGGTTTGGAATTGTCTGCAGTGTTGTGGGTTTATTGTGACCTGAAAGGCTGTTCCGTGCATTCAACAAGCAATTCATTAAAAGGCGGCTTGCTAATTATTATGAGAGTAACTTCAATTTAATAATTTGGTTGCACTCGCTGCATCTGTCTTGAGTTGGAGTCTTTGACCTCCTGTTGTCGTAGAGAATTGTGGCGTAGCTTGTTCTTCAGAGTGAGTTAACTTTTCTCATTCAATGAAGAGTTTTCGTTCAAGGTGTTATGTTGCTTTGTTTTTTGAGACTTTTCCTGTCGCTGTTGAAAGTGTTAAAAACCTGCTACTAAGTCACTTTGTAACATGACAAATTTAGTCATAATGACATATAGAGAATTATCGAATTAGATAACAATGAAGGTGGAGTGGTAGTAGGAAATAAG